TTCCCCACATCTCCCTTTTTGCTACGTACCCTCAAGAATTTCCCACCATCCCTTCTGCTGTGGTTTGGATCTTGAATGTCTTCAAAAGGCCCATGTATTAGAGGCATGGTTCCCAGCTTAGTGCTATTGGGAGGTGGTGGAGTTTTTAAGAGGTGGGGCCTAGTGGGAAGACTTTAAGTCTCTAGGGCTGTGTACTAGAACGAGATAGTGGGACCCTGGCCCCTTCCTCTTCTCTTCTTTCACATCCTGGTCATGAGATAAGTGGTTCTGCTCTGCCACACACTCCCACCATGATATACTTCCTTCTCTCTGGGCCAATTGGTACTAAATCCTCTGAAAATGTGAGCCCAAATAACCCTTTTCACTCTACGGACTGATTATGTGGGGTGTCTGTTATACAGAAAGAAAGCTAACACGTCATCTGAAAACTAAAGGGCACTGCTCTCAACTCTGTCACTCATTTTGTGATATTCTTCTTATCAATTCCTCACCTCTAAATTTACAGCTGAAGTGGGTGCCTTCTAAAGCCCTATCCAATGCTGGCAGTCCCTATTTGCACTACTGTTAACACTACTGTTTTTCTACAACCTCATTTCCAGTTTACTGCCAAAGGTACATCTTCTGATTACTTATGAAGCTAGTGGAGCTACTGACCAATGAAAGAGAACACTGCAACAGAATGAAATGATTCCAATGCTTTAGACAACCCTCCTACTTGCTTTAAGGCTCATATATATGTTTTATCCTGTGGGGTAAGCAATTCCAGGTGAACTAGCTGAAAGGCATGATCTCATGGCTGAAAGCTATGTTCTCCATGGCTCCCACTACACCAGAGACACCTGATAAATATTCGTGGAATAGATGTTGAAATCCACCTGCTTGACATTTGCATTTTAAAATAATTATAGCTAGATGTTCTACTGTCTAACATTTCTCCTTTGATAAGGGATTTACCAGAAAAGTATCATTTTCTAGCTTCTTATAAATGTCATTAGGGACCAAAAGGAAGTAGACATGCCTTTTTTTCTTTTCCTTTTTTCTGGGAATAGTCTCAGTAGGTAGCCCAGGCTGGCCTTGAACTTACAATGTAGACCAGGCTGGCCTCAAACTAGTGATCTTCCTGCCCTGGCATCCCAACAGCAGAGATTTTAGGCTTGTACCATCATGGCCAGCTGAGATGTGATTTTTTCCAAGAGCCTCACAACAACTATGATGGCTTCGTGATCTCATTTTATTCTCACATGCTCAGACCTGTCTGCAGGGGACGGTCACTCTCCAATGTCCTCTCTGCCAGTCCACTTTCTTTCTTTCCTTCTGGGGGGCCTTGCAGTCCTAAACCTAGACTGAACTTACTGTTCTCTAACGTGTTCCCTCTCCTTTCCCACCCGCTCCAAGCAGCCACATAACTTGTGTTGATTTTTACTGTGTCTGTGAGTAGAATCAGCCTTGTGTTTAAGACAAAGCCCCTCCTGCATCTTCCCCTCCCCCATCCTCCTACCCATATAGCACCCTCTTGAAACTAGATGAAGGTTCTTTAGAAGTCCTGATCCCTTCCTTCACCTCCCCCACAGCTCCATCCTAAACCACCCACACCCAGGCTTCACTGAGATGCCTTTGCCATCATTATTACAGCATCCTCCACAGAAAACACTTCTGAAATGCACAAGGTCCCGTTCCAGCCTGCCTCTCCTCTTACTGAGGACCATTCTCCTCTGCTCCCACCGCTTCAGCTACAACCACAGGCATTCAGATATTCTTAGGCCAGGGGTACCTAGTGTTTTCCTCTTAGCACAGCACTGAGAATTTCTCAGTGTTGTGATCCATCTGTACCCTCGAGGATCTGCCCTATCTTGAAGGGGAACGCCTGAGGTTTGGAATTGCACTTTACATGTAACTTTTACAGACAGTAAATGCTCAGTGTTTGTTCAAATTAAAGTGGGAGTATCTGGGAGAACATCTCTCCCTGGCCCCATCCTCTCTCAGCATGAAACACATTGCTAGTTATATATCAACTACTTCTTTCCGGCTATCCCATATGGGCACTCAGAAATCTCCAATTCTCCAGAGCAAAAAGACCCTTTTATTATTTCCCTACCTCCAAGTCTCCTGCTATCCAATCATTTCAGCCATATCAATTGCGCTTCCCAAAGCAGAAACCCCAGTGTGTCTTCAACATGTGCAACTTGCTAACAAGACCTATTCTATGTTTTTCCTCAGTATCTAGTCTTTCTTCTTTCTTTCTCACTGCCCACATCTGAGGCCAGACCCTAATCTCTAAAATGGTCTCCCAAACTTTCAACCCATCTTCCATACAACCATGGGAGAGACTTTCCTAAACACAATGATTATGCCACAGCTCTAATTATACCCCTCTGACACATCACCTACTGCCTAAGACAAGTCCAACCTCCTCACATGGCACTCAGGGCCTTTCTGGATCTGGCCCTGACTATAGGACCCCTCCCACACCCATGAATCTTTCAGCCTAACTAGATCAAACTCACCTTCATGCCCTTGAATCTGCCATGTTCTCATGCCTCTGTGTACACAGCGCTTCTTCTGGCTGGAATGCTTATCCTAAGGTCCATTCAGGGCCTATTTCCATCCTATAAGGCCCAGCTCCCATGGAATTTTTCTAAAGCCTTCCTCAAGTACTGCCCAGGTTGTTATGTTTATTTTACTTTATAAACACCTGTGTTCCAAAATGAGTTTGAAGTAGTATACAAATTATGCACCCTCTGGAACTAGATTTTTCTTTTTTTAAGAGAGAATATCAGGGTAGAGACAAGACAGGGTAAAAGAGATAAAAGCAAGGAGGCAATGGGGCATTTATAACCTCTGTCATAGGTCTCTCACTCATCTCTTGAGGCAGACTGGCCTTGAGTATCAAATGAGCTGGCTACTTTTCTATGAGCCCACTGCCAATCATGTATGCCAACACATATGGTACCACTTTTTTGTAATTTGCTCTTTGCATCAATCTTCTTCTCTGGACTGGGAAAATCCTAAGGGATTCATAATTTCTGACTTATCTCCGAATCCCAGCATGTAGCATATGACTCAGCACACCATCAGTGCTAGGCAGACATTTGATGAATGAATGTTTTCATGGACAGGAAAAACAGTGCAAGAGCTTGTTGAGTTCTCTCCTAGGTATGTGAGTAAAACATTATTTTATCCTCACCCAAAAAAAAAAAAACCACACTAAAAAAGTGACAGAGAAATGGATTTGAACCCCAAATTGTCTATCTTCCAAAGCAACTGCTTTTTCCATGATGAATGGTATTGCCCACATTCACCTTCACTGTGATCCCAAATACCCTCTCCCTCAAGACCTGGTGCAAAACAAAACGCTCTTCTCCAAGAAGCCTGTCCTGCTCACCCATGAAAAATGCGAGACTGAGTCCTGCCCCTGATCTTCCACAACACTTAGGTGAGAAATCCAGAGAGGGCAGGGTGCCTCCATGGTGACTGAGAACTGAAGGCTGTCACGTATTCAGCAGAGTGTGTGCTGAAGTGGCCAGCTCCTCTTCCTACTGCCTTGCCCCTAGTATAGTTCCTGGGCCTTTCTTCTTTTCCTCTTCCTTTTTCAGAGTCCAAAGTCTTAACAGTTCTCCCCATTCCAAATTGAAACCCCAAACACCCTCCCCAGGTTCTTTGCTTCTCTAACCAAGTAAACAGGGCTCCAAACACCCTCCTCCATCACAACAGTTAGACCTTGGTATTTTAGGCATCTTATCAACCCTTAGGGCTGGTGAGCATCCCTATCTCCTGAAACACGTCACAAGAACTGTAGGCATTATGATAAGGGACAAGGACACTTTAGGAGGTCCAGTCTCAGAGCTTGCATCCATCTGAACACTTCTGTCCTGGCCCAGGAGTAAGAAGGGACAACTTGTGATCTCTCCTCCCACCACCCCTCCCACCCTGCCCTGGACTCTAAAGGAAGGATGGATCTACTCCAGAGCGCTCCCAGGAGGACGAGGGTAGACCTGCTTCCTTCTACATCTTCCTCCAGGCCTCAGAACACCTCCTCTTCATTCGCTGTCTCCCAGGTCCCAAACTTTCACAGTAGTCCTCAATCCTAACTCAGGTTAACATTCAACAATTTCCTGGGTAACACACTGGGTGGTCTTTTCTGACATGCTGAAATACACACACAACCCATGGCCCTATTATCCTACTTCTATTAAATGTGTGACAAATGTATCTCTTGTAGCCTATAACCATTCTCCTAAATACTGCAAGAATATCTGTACTCTTAAATGTTACCATTTGAAAGAAACGTCCATTCTCCAGGATCAGAAAAGGAGACTAAATTCTTGCACTGTTTGCTACTCCTAAATTAAGATTTGTTTCTCATGCAATTTACAGTAGCTACCTCCTAGTGCCAAGTGCAATGATTTAACGTTAATTCATGCTAACTATTTAGGAACTAGGGCCTGGTATACAGAAAGTATTGTGTATACACATTATCTTCTACAATAGTATCTGGGGAGGGGAGGGATTACATCACGCTCTCTCCCCCCACCATTACCGAAACAGCAGCCCAGGGTAGGAATAGTTTTCCCAAGGTCAGTCCAGCAGGATTGTGATGCTAAGCCTTCCTCCGAATGACCGACCCCTCCCATGACACCCTTCGACAAGGCACAGGGGGTCTTCATGGAGACAAGTATGCACAAGAGCTGAACGCAGTGCCTAGCACACCGGGGGGACACGGGAATGGGGTACGGCAGCACTGCGGGTGTCCCCAGGCCCAGGGGGTCCCGAGGCCCCCTAGGCCGGCGCGCCTGGAGCCCCGCGGAATCTCCCGAGGCCCGCGCCCTGGGGCTTTGTACGGAACAGGCCGGCCCGGCTCACCGAGTCCCCCAGCGCGCGGAGCCGGCCGCCCCGCGCCCGGCCTGCACACGGGGGTCGCCGGGGCTCGTCCGGAAGCGGGCCAGGCCAAGCCCGGGTCCCGCCCGCCACCACGGCCCGCACGCCCGCCCCAAGCCTCCTACCTGCAGCGGCGGCGCGGCGGCCGCGGGACCGGCGAGGGGCGGGCGCGGCGCGAGCGCGGCGACCTGGGCTCCTCTGGCGGGCGGGGCGGCCTGGAGGGCCGCGGGCTCCGAGCGAGCGCCGGGCGACGGCGGCGCGCCCCCGGCCGGCAGGCCCCGCCGTGCGCGCCGCGGCCACAAAGCCCGAGCCGCCTGCCGGTCGCTCGGCGCCGCGGAGGGGCGGAGCGCGGCCCCTGCCCCGGCCTGCACACGGGGGTCGCCGGGCTCGTCCGGAAGCGGGCCAGGCAACCGGGTCCCGCCCGCCACCACGGCCCGCACGCCCGCCCCAAGCCTCCTACCTGCGCAGCGGCCGGGTCACGGGACCGCGAGTGGGCGGCGCGGCGACTGAGGCCGGCGACCTGGGCTCTCTGGCGGGCGGGCGGCCTGTTAGGGCCGGGCTCCGAGCGAGCGCGGCGACGGCGGCGCGCCCCCGGCCGGCCAGGCCCCGCCGTGCGCGCCGCGGCCACAAAGCCCCGAGCCGCCTGCCGGTCGCTCGGCGCCGCGGAGGGGCGGGAGCGCGGCCCTGCGCAGTACCCACCTCCCCCAGCCGCGGCCGCGGGGTCCGCGCCGGCCCTCTGCCGGCATCATTGGGCCGATCCGGCTCCCTTTGCCCACCTTGGCGGGGGAGCACCTGGCGGGGCCCGACCAACTGTGTGTCACCGCCATGCACACCAACAAAAGAACGCATTTTTCACAAGGGATGTGGCGGGCACGGGCACGAGTTAGTTGAGCCCAGGCTCTTTTCTTTGGGGACAGCAAAGTTGTTCCCCTCCCCCGGGCTGAGTTCGTCACTAACTTTTGGGTTCTAATTGGCGGGATGTGTCGCCTGGCTAGTGCACTCTTCCAGTGCCCGGACTGTGCCCACCGAGCTACGGGCCTGTCCCAGATACTTCGCTGACCTGAACTAACCGCGGAACTAACCACGTGTGCACGAATGCACAACAGATCGAACAACAGTGGGACAAGGCGCTTTTCCCCCCTCCCCCAAGGGTGGTGGCTGGATGTTTCTTTTGCCCCAGATCCAGGAGCTGTTGAACTTTTTCTTTCTAATGGAGGTGAAATTCACATAGCATAAAATTAACCGCTTTAAAATAAACAATTCAGTGGCACTTATTACACTGATTATGTCCAGCAACCACCATCTCTATCTGAGGCCGGACAGAGCAGGAAAAATGAGGCCCTGGAAACAGCAGCAAGGATTTTAGAGATAAACAATGTACTAAGAAAAGGCTTGATCAGAATCACACAGACAGGCACTATTTCCTTTGCTTGAAGCTTTACATCCCCTCAGTAAGCTGCAACATTTAGTAAAAAAGAAAAAAAAAAAAAAAACAAAGAAAAGCAAGTGTATCTTGACACTTATCCTGGGAAAATGACTCCTCAGGGCAGGGAAAATGTTTACAAAGGAAAACATTCAAGGCAAAGAGGGACAGCTGTCTTGAAGAAAGCATCTGGCAGGACCCATCCTTTGCTTAAAGGGATGCATAGGCATCTATGTCATAATGACCCAAATTTTATAATCAGGCCAACCTTGAAATATTTGGGCCTAAATGATAAAACAGTGTAACAGCAAAAATGATTAAATATACCAGGTGTCGGAACACAGGGGAGAACTTTTTCTAAGGAAAATTAGAGCCAAACCCCTAACCTACTTTTTCACTATATATAAATACCCCTGATGTTACAGCACTCATTCCACCTGTTCTCAGATGTGCGGACACCCATCTCTTGTCTGGGTTGTGTACTATATTTCTATTTTTCCTTTGCTTCACTTTACTAATAAACTTTATTGGTCTCTAACTTGATGTGTCCAAAAATTATTTTGTGCAACCACATCAAGTACCTGGTACCCAAGTGGCAGGCAGAAGCCTCCTCTAGAGCATACCAGGGTTCCTATAACATATATAGTTCTGAAATGTTTCCATCACCCCAGAAAGAAACTGCTGCACCAATTTAGCAGTTACTTCCCAGTCCCTCCTTCCCCCAGCCCCTGGAAACCACTGAAACTGGTTTTGACCCTGGAAACTATTTTTGACCTCTTTATCCAGATATTTCATATAAATGGTATCATGCATAATGTAGCATTTTGTGTCTGGCTTCTTCGACTTAGCCTAAAAATTGAAGGTTCATCCTTCATTGTTTTTCATGACTGCATAAGATACCATTGTGTGTATACACTACAATTTTTTTCTTATCTGTTCATCCATCATTTGATGACTATTTGGGATACTTTGGCTATTGTGAGTAGTGCTATGATAGCGCTACTCTGAACATGACTGTACCTGTACATGTATCTGTCTGAGCACTTGTTTCCAACTCTTTTGGATACGCATCCAGGAGCAGAACTGCTGGGCCACATGGCTTTATGGTCATTGAGGAACCACTGAAAAGTTTTCCAGTCACTGAATGAATCATTTTACATTCCAACCAGCAATGAATGAAAGTTCCAAATTCTCTACTATCTCACCAACACTTGCTATTTTCCTTTTTTAAATCCCTTGGACTTTTTTTTTTTTCTGGTCATTGCCTGCCTTTCCAGCTCCTACCACCCACAACCCTTAAATAGGGCTTGATCCAAAAGAAAAGAAATACTGCTACTGAAGGGCAGAAGCACCAATAAAAATAAAGACTCTACACTAAGAGCTATACAACTCCTTGTTATTATTTTAACAATAACTGTCCTGGTGTCCAGAGAGCCTAGAAACTAAGACTATTCCTACAGCAAATTTTGACACTCATGCACTGAGTGCCACCTTGTAAGTCTGTGAAGCCAGGCATGGGAGTGTGTTTCTATAATCCCAGCACTCAGGAGGCTGAGGAAAGAGGATCAAGAGTTTGTGACCCTCTCTCAAAAAAAAGTACATGAAAATATTTCCCTCCTTCTCTTCCTCCTCCTTCTCTTCTGTTTTTGAGATTTCCTTCTTAAATGGAAGCACAAAGGAAAACTATCTTCCACACCGTTTGTCAATGTGTCCTTCGTCTATGTCTCTGTCTCTCTTTGTCCCTCCGTCTCTTCTCTTTTCTTGTCATATTACATCTCTCTCTCTCTGCATGTGTGCTCCATTTTCCTCCATGTCCCAGCCTGCTCCTTCTACTTAGTCAGCTTACACTTGGCCATAATGCCTCCCCAATGGCAGTCCAGGTCAGTGCAGAAACCTCCTCTTGGTCTCATATTTACCCAGATAAAAAATTCTGTCTGGCTCCATTTCAGGCCAGGACAAGCTGGTCACCTGTGAATTGACTGCTTTTGGAGCAGAAGTCCATTTTGGATCCAATCAGCTGTTCTGTGATAGAGGGAAGATATCAACCGGTGCAAAAATACTCCTTCAGGGGGCTGGAGGTGTGGCTCAAGTGGTATAGTACTTGCCTAGCATGCCAGGCCCAGCATAGCAGGGGCTGTAAGTGGGACTATCACCAAAAGTTGTCATAGAGAGTAGACACACTACTTGTACAGTATGTCTTGTATAGAATAATTGAATGAATATGACCGTATTTTTCCTGAACCAAAAAAATTAGGATAAACAGTATAAAAATTATTTGAGGTAGAGGCAGTCTGGGAGATGTAGTTCAAATGCTGAAATATTGGAACTTCTGAAGTATTTTGATAGCTAATGACAGTAACGGCACAAGATTTTTGAAATTTAATCTTTCCTGGAAGATCTTAGTCACTATACATAGTGAGTGATCGTATAAAGCATAATATCTACCTCACAGCATTGTGGAGAGGATTATATGAGTAAATGTGTGTACATCCATTTGAGGTTCCTGTAATAATATTAGATATTATTATCATATAGTGGAGTACTGGATTGTTCCTGATCTGTGCTGATCCCACCAAGATAATGGCTATGCCTAACTGCTCAATCTCTTTCTTCTTCTTGCTAAATACAACATCAAACAACAGACAAGCAGGAGGATAGTTTTAAAAAGCTTCAGAGAATGGCAGTGATGTCTCCTACAGTCTTACTAGAGCATGCATAAAGTTGATTTTCTTTTTTTTTGGCAGTACTAGGACTTGAACTCAGTGTCTTAAACTTGCTAAGCAAGCACTACTCCACTTCAGTCATACCTCTGACCCTTTGTTCTTTAGGTTATTTTTAAGATAGGGTCTTGCTTTTTGCCCAGGCTGGTGTAGGATCATAATCCTCCTATCCATACCTCCCCCATTGCTGGAATCACAGGTGTGTACCACTAGGCCCAGCTTCAATAAGTTGAGATGGGGTCTTTCTAATTCCTTCTCTCTCCCAGACTGACCTCTAACCACAATCATTTTGATCTTTGCCTCCTGACTAGCTGGGATTACAGATGTGAGTCATGAGCACACAACCATAAAGTTTATTTCCTATCTCAATATTCCCTTAGCTAACTTGAAAAATTCCTCAGAATGTCAGACACATCTAAATATCTTTTTAAAGACATGGACATTGAGAAAAACAAAGATGCCTCAACTTACAGGATCCAGTTGTCCAAGGGAGGGAATGAAGAGAGAGGAAGTTGAAGTACAAAACAAGAGACCACAGGTAGAGCTCTTAAAAGCCCAAAATCTAGTGCTGAAAAGTGACCCAGAGGAGTGGCAGGACAAGAAAGAGTGAAGAGCAGATCTGGAAAGAAATACAAGCCACATGCAAATTCTAGGACTCACAGATTCAAATACTTACACTCTACCTTCCCTAAGGGCCACTCATCTATTTTCACATGACTAGACTTCAAGCTACTGGTCACTGGATTTGCTGCTGTCACCACAATTTAATATTAAAGTGGTTTTGTTGAACATACTCTAAGCCCATAATACATGGAAACTGAAGCTTTTACCATTTGAGGAATTGATTTCTTTAAATAATTGATCCATAGATATATTAGTTACTTATTGCCCTGTAGCAAACTTCTCTAAAATTTAGAGCCTTCAATCAACAAATATTTAGTACCTCTCAATATCCATAGGTTGAGAAGCATCTTAGCTAAATGGTTCTTCCTGGAGGTCTCTTCAAAGATATCAGCTGGGGACAGAGTCATCTGAACTCTTGCCTGCGGTTAGAGAACTCAT